GGTTCCAAGTAGAATACGTCTTCTGGATCCACTTGAGCTGCCAACTCCTTGAAATTCACCATTGTTCCCTTCTTCTTATTTTCATAAATTTTCTTTTCTTTATCCCCAATCGTGCACGGATCCATTCTGGGCACGCGAGAGAAACAATCTGCAAGCACATTGTGCTTGCCTTGGATATACTTCCATGTAATGTCAAAGCCTTCCAGGCTTAGTTTCCATCTGAGAACCCGGGACTGAGACAGGGTTCTGAAGATAAGATTCTTATGATCAGTGTAGATGATTATTTGGCCACCGTAGAGCATATTTCTATACTCTTTGAAGCAGAGGATGATGGCTAAAAGCTCTTTTTCCATTGTGGTGTAGTTTCGTTGAGTCTTGTTGAGCTTCTTTGACCAGTGTGCAATTGGTCTCTCCTGTTGAAGGATTGCAGCTCCGAGCTGATAATCAGACGCATCAGTGTAAATGTGAAAGGGTTTGTTCAAGTCAGCAAACGTGTTGATCGCATCTTGTGCAAGGAGCGCCTTCATCTCTTGAAATGCTTGATTACATGCTGGGGTCCAGATGTAAGGTCCTGAGCCAGTGAGTGCAGTGAGGGGGGCCAATACGTGTGATCTTCTAGGCCACATGGATTTATAATAGTTCACTGCACCAAGGAAAGARCGGACCTGTGATTGGTTCTGTGGAACTCCCATCTTCAAGATTCCATCCACTTTCTTTTGCCATGGTTTGACTCCTGTGGGAGTGAGCCAATAGCCTAGGAAATCAGACTCTTTTACTGCCCACTCACACTTGAGGGGATTGCATTTCATACCACTGGATGCTAATCGTTCGAGGACTGGGTCAACTAAGGACAGGTGTTTTTCAAATGGTCCGCAGGACCAAATTCCCATATCATCAATATAGACCTCAACATCCAAACCAGATAGGATTCTTGTGATGAAGGCTTGAGCATAGTCGGGAGATGATTTCAGTCCCATAGGCAATCGTAGGCATCTGTAGTTGCCGTGTGTAGTAGTGAGAGTGCATATTTTCTGGCTTTCCTTGTCTAGCTCAAAGCAGTAGAACATCATGGAGAGATCAATCTTAGTGAAGTGATCATATCTGGTTCTTCGGTTCAATATGTCCTGAATCTTGGGGACATTGAACTTAGGTCTCTTTATCCTTTTGTTCAATTCCCTGAGATCAAAGAGCCATCTTACTTGTCCATCTTTCTTCGGAATGATGAAGGCAGGGAAACCCCATTCCGAGTTGCCAGTGGGTGCAATGACTCCTTCATCAACAAGATGCTGGCATTCCCTTTTGAACACATCCTTGTGTCTGTAGGGTACTGGATAAGGATTGATATAAACTGGTTCTGTATTATCCAGTAGATCGATGTGGATCTTTTCATGAGGATAGCGACCTAGTTTGCCGTCAAACAACTCTGTGTGCTTGGCTAACATTACTTGGAATGCTAGTCTTTGTGATTCATTCATGTGCTCTTGCTGGTCTGCAACCTGCTCTGGAGTCACTTCCTGGTACTGCGCGTCCAGGATTTTTGTTGCCTCAATGGGTCTTTTTGTTGCCTCAGTGGGTCTTTTTGTTGCCTCAGTGGGTCTTTTTGTTGCAGCTTCTGCTGCCAAATAACTGTCCAAACCTGTATCAATTGCACGTCTGCAATTTGTTGGGTGGCAGTTGGGGATTAGATGGAACTCTATGAATCCTCCATCCAAAAGTTCATCATCCTCAGCCAGCCACATAGCTTCTGCTACTTGCTGGGGATTATTGAAATGATTTGTTGGTTTCATGTCAATGGTTGAGCCTAACCATCTGATAGTGCGTGT